GCTCTGCTGTAGTGCTGCCCTTAGGGGAAACTAGCTGCTTAAAATTAATGTTGTGTGTCAGTAGTCTGGTGGGGAGACCAAAACTAGGAATGTGGTAACATCAACTAAATGTTGAATAAGGGTGGTGGCCTAATGGAAGTGTTACAAATTTGAACTAGGACAGCAAAGCAGTTTTGCTTTAACAGGAGCTGAAATCCCTGAAGATGTATGCTGTTGGCATCAGGACAGCATTAGATTGATTCACTTAGAGGAAATCTCAGGCATGGTTCAGGTTTGAATGCATATGTTGAATGGTGACATTGCAAACTGAAACCTGAGCTATAGGTTTCATTTTGGGCCAGGAAAACTGCTACTCTGATTTCAGCCTGTTGAGTCACCTTCCTATGTGTTTTGCCAGAGTTTCCTTCAGCTAAATGAGAGAAGCCAGGAACTGAGATGAAAGGTTGCTAGTTCAAAAATCAAGTGTTGTCTTCCTATGCCCCCTCACCCCCCCCCAAAAAAAAAAGGGAAAAAAATCCTTCAGGGGAAACAATCAGCACCTTCATAGTCGATAAGCAGTTATTAAAATGGAGAAAATAATTGTTTACCTTCTTACCTTTTAAAGTGGAGCTGCTGTTTCCCTTGTACATAGTTTCTAGGCAATTACAGATCAGGATGAAGTAATTAGATGACAGAACTGTGAAAAAGAATAACTTGCCTTTTTATCATGAATTAAAGGAAGTAAGAAGAAGGCATCACTCCTGGGAAATGAACATTTGGTTTTGTAATCCATTAGTGTGACAGATCATATTTCAGATGTCAAACTTGAATTCTGAACTGCCCCCTTCATGTTTCGTCCACTATTCATTAGGTGTGAAAGCAACTGAAATGTGATGTTTTGGTTGCCTGATCATACATCAGATTCTGGAAAAAGAATGGTGTGAATGCTGTCCATCTTAACTCAGTATTTCATGAACATATGTACTTGACTTTATGCTCTTAAGTACACAGAGCTCTAGGTAAAAGAGTATTCTGTGTATTTCGTTATATTCAGGTGAATTTAAGTGAATCTCCTATGCCTTTAGTGGTCATAGTGAGACAGTAGCAGTCTTTGTTTGTCATTCTTTGTCTTAGCCTTGAACCTGAAGGAGGAGAAGGGGGTGTATAATACAGTCTTGTGTAACTCACCGGGATTCGTGATCATCTTGAGTTTGAAATATCATTTATGAAGTATGCATTCGGTGTGTTGGCAGTGTGGCTTTTTCTTGCTGCTACCCTAGATTCAGCAGGCCTGATTTTTACTTTCAGCACCTCTGCCTGGTGTTTCTTGTTAGCTAACTCTGTGCCTGCAGAGGTGCCTCTAACCAGTAGGAAACACTCAGCACAGGGGATAAAATGAAATTAAAAAGAAGCTGAGGATAGGCCACAGTGACGTGTGTTTGATCACATTAAAAATATTCCTTTTGTCATCTCATAAATGAAATCATTGCCTGACATACAATGTCTGATTTGAACTTCCGCACCTATAAGACGGATGCAAGTCTTCATTTAAAATACCTAGTGAGTTCTAATGTATAAGATTCAAGTTCTCACTTCAGTTTTATAGTCTTAGAGAAGCTCACTTAGATTAGGTTTTCTTTAATGAGTGCACTTCCAGATCCTGAGTTTTTATATGTAATGCAATTTGTTAATTAAAATGCATGTCATTGTCGAAAAAGACAGTTTGGGCCTCCACATTGAGGAACTTTGTTAAAAAACTGTCCTGTGTTTGACACCAGTTAAATGCACATTTTGATTCAGTAGTCAGCTGCAGAGAGAATAGTAAGAGCTAATTGGAAGTAAAGAAAGTTAAGAAACTGAACTTGAAAAGGCAGGAAGGTTTTCTGGAATCAAAATTAGTCTGGAGAATGCGATCTGCTAACTTTAAGTGTTGTTTAACTGGGCCAGAGTTTTAAAGAGCTTTACAGTTAAATGTCTGCCATGTAGGTGTTATTCAAAAGTTGTCGAGTTTGCACTGCCTTAGTATTTCATAGCTTCTTTCAAGTGCTGAGATGCATTCTAAAATGTTTAGAACAGAGTATGCTTGTTCATCAAACATATTTTGTGGGTTTATTAAGTGAAACTGTAAATGCCAGCAGCAACTTGGTGCATTTAAACAACTTTTCTTACTCTAGTAGGTTATGAAAAAAAAAAAAATTCCATTTGGCATTCAGGTTTTCATTTAACATCAGTCATAAATATTTGCAAATTTACACTTCACAGTGGTTTTTTTTAAAGTCATAGATTTTATGCCACTGTATGTTAATAAAAATGACTGCTCAGTCTTTGCAGCTGCAAAAATGTGCTTGCTTAGTTTGAAGTATTGCTCGTCTGATCATTCATGTGAGAAGTCATTGAACAGTTTGATGTTATGTTAAACTTGTGTTTCTCGACTATCAATCTCCGCTTTACAAATGGTGGAAATGAGGAAGTATGAGATGAGTCATTCTCACAGTCATCCTGCCTGCTAGCAGCACAGTACTGAGTAGAGCTTGTAGTCTAGTTCTTCGGGCTGAGCAGTAGTGCCTTAAATCTTGCAAGCTAGACTAAACGGAGGAATACCATTTACCAGAGTTCGGTCAGGACTTCAGATTTCAGGCTTTTTGTCTCCTGGTGGCTGCTTGCAATGTAGACAGTGTATTGTCATGTTTAAATAGTCCCCTTCTCCATCCCACTTGGCTTAGTTTTATACCTTTACCTGAAGTTACAGTAATGCAAACTGTCAAAGTGGTTTTGTCAGGATGGGGATCTCCTAATGTATCTGTCAGTGGTGTTTCTTGAGATTTTTGATTTTTCAGAGCAAGATTTGAAGACGGCAAGTTAACAAGTGTTGCCAAGTTAAAGTAGATGAAATTACTGTAATATCAGTGAGATTTCTGTGTCACAATATAATTTCAAATAAAATCATGTATCCTTGGTTCACAGACCTTAATTTTCTATCACAGTTGTTACTCTTTTCCCCAAGTCAGTACCTGATTTCTCTGCCTCCACTCCCTGGTCCCTCCCTGCCCTTGCTGTTGCTTTTCATCCTTCTATTCTGACTGGTATTTTAACACTTTCTCTGAATTATTCCCTATTTAATTTGCAGGGGTTGTTAGGACTGGAGGAAATCTGGCTGATGATTGTTGTTTTAACTCTTGGAGTTTTATCCATTGATCAAAGTGCTTATTTTTTTTTCTTAATGATTTTGGTGGTTAATGTGGTTTGAGAAGGTTTATCAGCAGGTTTCTAAAAAAGAAGATTTTTAGTCAAAGTTGTTACATCCGAAATTTGACTGATGTTGTAGCTCATACGGAATTTGGAAAGTATGCCCAAGACGAAGCAGTCATAGTGAAGGATGCACGTGATCCGTTACGGTCTTCAGTTAATGTAAATACAGTGTGAATGTTTGTGGTCACGTTTCTCATAGTGTAGACATGCTTTAGGACAGATGTTATCTTATGAGCTAATTTGGTTCCCACTCAAAATTATGCAGTATCACTTTAGTTAGAACAGCACTGGATTCTGAGGAAAAGTATTGTTTTACCACCATCATGCTGTTGACTAGAAACATTGCAGGGCCATTCTCCAACTGATGTGGTGTGTATGCACGTGACAAATTCTACATGGGTTTCTATTTAATTTTGGAAGCCTGACTGCATCTTGGTTTAACCTGTTTATGTATTTCTGTACCATGCTGGAGTGGAGTATGTATCTTGTCCTACAGAAAATATAAATCCTTCAGCCACCCTTGAGAATTTTTTTCCCTGCTTTCTCATAGGTGCCTTCTCTTCATTTAATGTGCATCTTTACATCTTCTGCATTTGCTGCTTCTTTGACCAAGTTATTGATCCCTCTTTAGGGAGCTGAAAATCGTATAAACACTCTTGGGCATGGGACTGAAAAGGTATAAACCGCAAGGCCTTCATCAATGGACAAATGCCAAACAAGAAGCCTTTTTACTGAAAATGCTGGTATTCCTGTTGACTGGGAACGGTTTCCTCTCTTCTATGAGTTGGAAGCCCCCAGACTGATTTATGGAATTGAAGAACCACTGCAACAGTTAAACCTCTGAACTAGGAACTGGCAAATGTTTGCTTCTGCTTGGTCTGGCGTAGGCTTCAGCCACTGACTGCATACGCTGGCAGCTGAAGTTACTTGCTTCACATGGTTGCTTACTAGAAAATGTTCAGATGGGGAACCTCAATAGTGTCCTGTTTACAGACCTGAAAATTAGTTGTGAATTTTTCCTGGTATTGTATTGGCAAAATGCCAAACAGAAGTAGGAAGGTACTGAGTGAGTGGAGTCCTTTGCAACTCTGCTATGATCCCATTGATTTATGTGCATCTGAGTTTTGGAAATCTGTCCTTGCCAGAAGTTTGGAATTCTCAGTGGAAGCTGATACTGTAGGGGAATTTTTTTAAATGCATTTGAAAGTAGGAATTCTCATAAAAAGGGAGTCTTTGTAAGTCCCTTTCTGTGAAAGTCTCATGTAAAAAAACAGAAAATGGCTGCTTTTCCTTCCCTTCAATATTTTACATTGCCAGAGGATATGCGGTTAGGGGACTGATATACCCAAGAGCCTTTTGGTACATGGAATTTCAAAGAGAAGGCATACAGGGTTGATAGTTTTATTGCAAGGATTACTTTTTCCCCGATAATTCTACAATAGAGATTATTAAAAGCAATTGCTGTATTTTATTCAGTGCAGTCAAATTCTGAACTACTTATTGCGATACTCCTTCAAAAGAGACTATTGATCGGTGCATTGTGTTTATTCGGCTAGATCTGAGGCTGCCAGAAATGTTGTGTAAGGCTTTTGTGTTTTGCCTGTCGGTTTCCAGTTCTTTGAGCTTTTAAGCAGTAGTTGCTTTATGCATATTTTGCCTAAATTGTGTTTTCCTCTCCGCTTTGCTGCCTATATGCCAGTAACTATACAGAGAGGAATGGTATTTCATGTACATGTTTCATTCTGGGAGTTTTTTTTTTACCGTTGACTGTGTGAATGATAAATGCTGTCTGGGGCAGAAAGGTGATTGCAAATTAAATGTATGACGGGAAGATGATGAATACCAGTAGAAGTTCCGTAGCCTGATTTTTGTACGTGTATGGTTGATAGTTCCTAAATTTTAACCTAACGCTGTGTTAGCAGTACTCTGGCACCAATACCTGACCTTAAATAACAGCATTTTTGCTAGCGTTCTGGTGAAAACAGTCTGGAGTTACCTTTCTTTTAGCTAGTTTCATTGTATGTGTCTTAGGTAAAACATAGTGGCTTTTGCAGGCCATATTTTAAGAGTCTAGCTTTTGTCATCTGTTACCTACAGTTTGGTCTTTGAGTGGAAATAAAGTTAAGTGAAATACTGAAATGTAATTATTTTAGGTTTGATTTTCTTACTGTTTTTCTTTCAGAACAAATTCTGTACAACATAAAACAGGAGTACAAACGCATGCAGAAGAGGAGACACTTAGAAAATAACTTCCAGCAGACAGATCCTTGTTGTTCTACTGATGCACAGCCACATGCATTTCTTCTTACTGGACCAGCTTTGCCAGGTACGTAGAAAATTATGTGTAATTCTGCTATGCGTTCTTAAACTCTGTTTGTATAAATTATTTTTCCTAGTGGTTTATTTTTCTGGTGGTTTATGGCACCTTCTCACCAGTTACGGTTGCTTTTTTTTAGCAATACTGGCATTGATCTGGAAGATTGTAACTTCTCATTTTAGGAATTGGTAGGACACAACGCTTGCATTGTTTTCAAGAGACCATCCTGCATACCCTGCCACTGATACTCTAATAGGCTTTTGCAAAGCAGCTGTCTTCACAAAAATATACTGTACTGTACTTTTTACATAAAACAGAAGCAGAAGTTTGTAAATGGCAGCTGCCATGTAAATTGTTTTCACAGTGTTTGTGTAACACTCTTGGTGTTTTGATACCTGTGCGTATTATCCATTGTTGATATCTTCCTTTTGAGTGTCCAATTTTACTTCAGTAGTAATTAGAAGTGTTCAAATGGCAGAGAAAGGTTTCTCCAAATGTACTTTAAAGTTCCTTTAATGTAAAAGATGTGAAGAAGACTGATTATAAAAATGGTTTTGAACTACTTGTAAGTGTAAATTGGTATGCCCAAATATTTAATCTTAGGTACTTCATCTGCAGCATCATCACCATTGAAAAAAGAACAGCCCCTGTTTACTCTCAGACAAGTTGGAATGATCTGTGAACGTTTGCTGAAAGAACGTGAAGAGAAAATCCGTGAAGAGTATGAAGAAATTTTGACCACAAAACTTGCAGGTATGTTATAGTTCAAAAAAAATGCTTTAGGATGAGTTTGAAAGTCCTCTCATTTTTGTGTTAAACTGTTTTTTCTGACCTAATCTAAGGAATGAGATTGCATACAGGACAGAGAAAATGCTGTGTAGTCTCTTTGATAGGTTTTTTTTTTTCTTCTGTGCTGCCTTGGATAGAAACTATGTCTCCTGGGTATTACTAATCATTGGAAACAGTGGTTCTATTTCAGATAGAACTTTCTCTTGCTATCGTGTTTGAATTGATCATTTCCTCCTCATTTTTTTTGCCAGAAAGACTTTCTATTCTACTGGCTTAAGAGCTCTTTGTGCAGGACTTTTTTTTTTTCCCTGCTTGGGAACTGACTTCCTTTTTCTGTTATTTGGCAAGAAGACAGTACCTAAGATTTCCCTTTCTCTTCCCAGCACTTACCATTACGCTGCTGCCAGTGGTGTTTAGTATTTGCTTGAGCATCAGTAGTTCAGCTGCATTTCTGATGCTCTGTGTTGAATTGTTGTGTTTTACATCATTCGGCTGGTAGTTTTGGCGTGTGATGCCAACTGATGTGGCATGTGATGTGATGCCATTTTCATAAGGATCACGTTAATGTCAGCATTGTAAATACGACCTTTCTTTAGTTCATAGAATCATAGAAAGCTTTGGGTCGGAAGGGACCCCTAGAGGTTTAGTCCAACCCCCCTGCAGCGAGCAGGGACACTGCTAACTAGATCAGGTTGCTCAGAGCCCTGTCCAGCCTGGTCTTGAATGTTTCCATAGTTGTTGAAGTTCTCTACTTCTAAGCATCTTGCTAGCATTTGAGCACCTGAATTCTATTGCATTCAGAGGTAGGTGCCTTCGCAGTGTGATTTGGTGTCTAATTGAATACTTAGTGTAATGACAGTGAACTACTTGGCAGCAAACCTGCTTTTGAATACCTGTGCCTGTTCTGCTTCCCACCTGAAAACACATCAGAATTAAAGTTTGCTAATCTCTTCAGGTGTGCCCATGCCGAAAGTCACTAGCCTTGTGGCAGGCTGGTGGGTTGCCTGTGACAGTATTGTCTCTGCACCTGAGCCTCTGTTCATGTTCTGTACTTGCTGATCTGCCACTGCTGTGTAAGAAATTACTATAGTTCTAAGTCCCTCTTAAATCTACATCTATTTACAGCTGTAACTAGAGCCCTAAATACTTAGGTTGCTTTGGGCCTGATATTCCATTTCTGCATTTTTCTTTTTAACCTGCTTCAGACTGATGAATTAGGAGACTGCAAGGCTTTTGTTTTTTTTTGATTGGTGTGTGTTGGGAATTGGGTCATTTCTTGTATTCTCTTAAATGCATTTCAGTTAGCAGTGATCATGATAACCATTTGAAGACCAGAGATGTTTACATTTGTTTCAGACACCTTCTGAGAACAAACTTGTAGTTCTTTACAGCTGGAACCCCTCTGGCAAGTTCCTTACATGTGCTCCATCTGTCAGTCCCGAAAGGAACATTTTTATTTCTGTGTTTGGGAACGGAGGGGGATGGTTTCCGTTTGGAGGGTTGTGGTTTGCAGAGAGATGAGTTAGGTTTACTTGTTCTTACGATGCTGGTCACAGAAAGAGCTGTTAGAAAGATCATGTTACTGCGTCCCATATGTCAAGCCAACAGTAAATTTGCAGCATTCTATGGGAATTTAGAAAGAGAGATTTGCCAAAAGAATTTAGAAATTTCTTATGTGGAAGGCCAGTTACGTTTTTCTCCTGACAAAATGATTCTGTCTTTTTCAAAGCTCTGTACAGTAAGGTGATACTCATTCTTACAAACTAGTGAAGTCAATGGAAATGTAACTGGGAAGTCTGTAACAAATCTCAATTGAATAGCTTCTTTCAGGTGACTCAAGTGAATGTTTGGATACTTTCCTCATTACTTTCTGAATCACGGTTTTCTTGTAGGTAGTTAGCCAGACACTGCCTTTTTTTTCCTCTTCCCTATGTTCTTTGTGAGCAGTTGCCTTTCATGCAGTGTGTTTGATAAATGGAAAACTCAGATCACTTTAATGCCCTGATTTCCCCTCCTGCCTCTGTTACCTGAAACCGCTGTGTTAGCATAAACTTGGGTTTGCAAGATCCTTTGCTGATTTTAAAATCAGAGGAATGTAAGGGGCTAAGAGAAACTTTAGCTTGAAAGGGTTTCTAGAGTCTGTTGTGAAAAACAGCTTTTTGTACTAAAGGTCAAGTCGTAGAGTGTAGTAATCATGTTTGTATTCATGGCATTTAGCCACCTTTTGACTTAAAATAGATACTTAGAACATACCTGACACAGGATACCAGCGGTGTAAGTTCACTTAAATTTTCAAACAGTTCGCTGTAGGTTGCTCTTACCTTTGGGCTGCGTAACTTTCCCAATCTGAATGCCACAAGAAATGGGATTTTTAGGAACGGTGCATTCTTTAAATTTCCAAAGCCATAATTTGAACAAAGATGATGCTACAAAGCAGCTGTGTGTGTTGACTTAAACCTTTGAAGAAGAAAGCTTGCAAGTGGGTTTCTGGCCTTTGATACATCCTTTTAGAAAAAGTTCTAGTTGCTGTTATTTTTGGAGATGGTTTCTGGGCAACAGATCCTTCAATCTGCTCTTTGTGTTACTTTGTTGTTTGGCAAAGATGCTCGCATGGCTGCTGAAAAGCCATCAGTCAGAACGGCAGTGAAACAGAGGTCCTGCTGGTGGGCAGAGGGAAGTGGCTGCCGTGACCGTGGGCCCCTTCAGTCAGGGATGAGTGTCCATAGATCCTGGGGTCAGGTCCGCACTTCTGGCTGCTGCTGCACTGCTTGCTGATCACTGATACCCTGTTTACTTCGAAGGTGAAGCTCATCCCTGCAAGAGGATGGGGACTTTAATGGGGCAAACCTGTGGGACTAGGAACCACTACAAATCTAACTGCATTTTTGGTTGAAGATTGCCTTCTTTGACCTTGCCCTTTTCTCAGAGCACACCACATTGCTGCACATATATTTTTCCACAAGGGAGGAAGGGGAATGGAGAGGAGCGGCATCTGGTAGATATTACTCTCCTTGTTCAATTTCCTAATTCTGAAAGGTGATATCCTGCTGATGAGTGCAATATTATAACTGAATAAAATATTGCGAATGGATTTGTATGTATGTGTGTGTAGAAGAAATAATCTTTCTGGAAATTAACAATGCCTAGTTCAAAGCTAAATTAATACGTTTGAGATCTAAATTTCATTTCAGATTACAAAGTAGCGGTTTTCATGAAGTCCGCAGTCAGCTATATAGTTGTCTCCTATTGTGGCTACTTTTGTGATTGGAATTAGTCAAGGGTTAGTCACTTAGCATTTCATCCTTTTAGGCTGTCGTTTGATTTTCTGGTGGTCACCAAAAATAATTTCTAACTCCGTAGCAAGTACTCTTCCTGTACTTCTGTGTTTCCATTTCATTAAATTAATTTTCTTGCATCTGGTAGTGACAGGAGCAGAGAGAAGTTAGTTTCCAGCCCCAGCCCTGTCCTCAGTGCTACGTTTGCTTAACTGCTCAGCCCCCATGATGGATCTGTGAAATGGGCACACTTCATTACTTCAAAATACAGTGTCTGATGCTTAGCTATGTGTTAGGTATATTGATTGTGCATGTGCAGCATAATTCTCTTTGAGCATATTGCTGTCTTTCCCATTACAGTAGTTTGTAAGGGAAAGTTTTAATTAAGGGGACATTTGCTGCATTGTTATTCTTGGGGATGGAAAAGAAATGGCAGCTATGAATGCTGTAAAGTCACTTAAAACTACTGTTAGTGGATGCGTGTTCTATTTATATGTTTTGTGTGTATAAAAAAGTAGCCTTGAATATTTTTCAGCTTGAGTTTATATACTCACACTTCTAATGCTTCATGCTTGCAGAACAATATGACGCATTTGTGAAGTTCACGCATGATCAAATCATGCGACGATATGGAGAACAGCCTGCCAGTTGTGAGTATCTATTTCTTCTGGTTCCTATAGCAGCATTAAATTACTGAATGCTCAATAATTTAAGCAGCCATTGTTTGTTGTTAAGCTTCAGCTAGGCCCCAGGTTAAAATACTTCATCTTGGTAATATGAAAGACCGAGGTTGAAAAGAAGATGGGAGATAAAATGCAGCTTTTGTTTAAAACACCTAGAGCTGACTCCCGTAACGTGCTGGTTTTTTATTTTTTAAGCAGGTTGTGATATTGCCGTAGCAGGTTTGTGATAAGAGCTGGCACTTGTTAACTCCATCATTAACTCTTGGGTTTTTTCTCTTTCCAGACGTTTCATGAATCACACTGTCTGCATACGTGGGCTGCCCTATACACCCTGTTTTATTGTTGCAAGCTGTCCCAGTAAAGACTTGCAGCAATGCCATACTTTTTCCCCCTGTGAACACAGGTTATTTCAAGCTTTTGTCAGTGGCAACCACTCTTATGCAGCAACTGGTTTTGGAGTGCTCCCTGATGTCAGTACCACCTGGATGTGGACCTTTGCTACCTGTAATAATACCAGTGGCCTCATTTGCTGTATCATTACAATTTGGCTTCTTATGTTAATAAGTTTGAAAAAGTAAAGGATTAAAGCTGGTGTTCTAGAAGTTGCCCTTCACTGGTTGTGTAAATAAAAATGTAGAATGACACTTCTGACTGAAGTTAGTGTGGTTTTCATAACTGTGCACTACAACAAAGCTGTAATCACAGTTAAGTTAGAATGTAATCCCAGGACATTTTTAAGCAAATAGCCCACAGTACTGCCTGTGAAATAGTGAAGGAGGGCATTTCTGTATTCCATGACTTTTTTGGGGGTTAAGAATGGGTTTATATGATTTCTCATTTTTGTAGTTTTTATTTATTCTATCAGTCTTTAACAAATGTTTATTGCTGCAATTTTTCAGTGTATCATTGTTTTACTGCCCTTGTAGTACTGGAATTTAGTTGGAAGAATAAAACATTTACTTCTAATCTGTTTGTTTTTAATATGCAGGTGGAACTTTGCTGTGTATGAATAAACTTAAATCTGAGTGTTTAATAGAAAACTTTATTTACTAGCAATAGCTGGTGGATCAGAATTTTAGATCAGGAGAACGAGGTGGATGAAAATCTCGGGTAGTTCTTCAGAGGGGAAGAAAGCTTCCTTAGATTGGCTGTATTGTTTGCTGTGTAGAAGCACGTTTGTTACAGAACTGACAAGAAAATGTTGATTTAACTTGCTGCAGCTGACTCAAACAGCTGCGCTCATCTTCCTTCAGATGTCAATGACACATCAAAGGAAATCTGTTCATAAGGTAGAGCAGGCACTTGCACCACAAGCTGGAATTATGTAGGTATTGGAAGAGCTAAAGGTGTTGTAATCTTTGTGTTCAGGGTTGAGGAGTTTGTTGTCGGATACATTCAGCTATTTCCAGACTGCTTTATCAGTGCTGGCTGCTGCTGTCCGTGCAATTCTGAGGGAATGCCTGACAAGTTACTACATAGAATCACAGAATATGATGGCCAGTCCAGATCTGTGTGCTGTGGGGTAGAAGCATGGCTTACCAAATGACTTGGGTTATCTGCTTTGGGGACTTTAAAGCAGTTTCAAAGTAATGCTTTGGTTATAAACTGCTGTCTTCTCTGACTTACTATCAGCTTCTGGGTAAGCGGAAGTCTGTTGTGTTCTAGATCTTTGTGCCATTTCAAACTAACGGAAATTTTAGTTGAAACGTAATTGAAACTTCAGCTGGTAGATACACACGTGTGATGAGCTCTAGTTCTTAGTGAACTTTTATTCACTTAGCAGTGAGATTACAGGTTCAGAATTCGTCACAGTATCAGAGTATTTTCTTACTCCCTTTCCTGAAACCGATGTTACCTAAATATTTGGATTATTTTTAGTATATTTCCAGATTCTCAGAAATGGGAAATCTTTGCTAGGCTCCCCTTTCAGTCTTCTGTTACTGAATATAAAGACAAAGCCATCAAGGGCTGTAATTTCTGTTGTCTGCTTCGGGGTTCGCAGCCCCGCTTCTTCCTGCTTCTCATGTTTTGACCTCCTCTTAACTTGCCCAGAGTAGGAAAACCACTGTTTCTAGGTGGACTACTACCCAAATTCCAGCATCCTGATACATCTCCTGTATCTCCTGTGTTCTAGAAGATCCTTGTTCCGACTTGATAGAAATGTGTGTATACCTAACTGATTATTTGAGATAGGAGTAGAATTAAGATACCAGCCATTGTGATTGTCTCTGCATCTCAGCTTATCTTTTCCTTTGGGATATTAAGAGTTATTATAAATAAGAAGTGACGTCATGTTAGCGCCCAGCCACTCCTGCGCTGCTCCAAATGAATGCATAATAAGCAGTCTTCTGACAGCTTAAATGTAATGCCACCACGGGTGCTTACGCATCACAGCTGTGGTATGCCTAATTTGTGACCATTTTGAAAACAAGCTTGCATTCTTTGAAATTTTTAATTTTCCAGCCTGATGCTTGTTCTGTCTTGGACTTAAGACTGGCTTCTTTCCTAGTCTTGGTGCCAATATCTGATGTGATGAATTTCACGTGAAAGGCTTGTTCTAACAGGTGACTTACTCTTTAGCAGGAAAATGGTTGACTCTTTGATTACTGTTGAAAAAAATTAGGAAAATTGGGGTGCTGTGAGGAGCAGGCTGGTGCTTAAACACAAACCTGCTGCTTTGGAGAGCCTTTTCAAAGGCTTTTGAGTCAAGTAGAAATGGGTAAGATTCAGTAACTACTGAATTCTTGGCACTGCATTTTGTGGTGGCCACATGTAGAATATTTTTGCAAATTGTATGTAACTGCAGTGTATCCAAAAGCAAAGCAAGCTGAGGACTTAACAGTGAAACCAAACAACTTGGTTAACCTGTTTTAAGGTAGTGATGTGTAAATTCTTTTGAAGCAGATCTGTTACTGTGTACTTTAAAAGCAGCATGGACCTCATAACTGTGATTCTTGTGTCTAGATGTGAAAGCATGTAACCATCAGATTATGCACCATTTTTCAAGGTTGAAAAGAAAGGAGATTCAAGCAATTTTGTGTGCTGATGCTTGAGATCTGCCTGTGTCCTCTTGAACAGTAAGACCGTTAGCAGATTCTGGCTAGAAACTGTTGCTTTGTGGAGGCTCTCTCTATGCCTGAGATGCAAATTGGGAAAGATTTAGCTCTGTGATTCCACAGGGGGGAGGGGAAAAAAAACAACCCGGGGCTGGTGAAGTATTAAGAGTTCATGCTCTTGTTGTGAACCAGTGCTCGTGACCTTTGTATGGGAAGCCATTCTCTGAGATGAAAAAATGTGAGGATGAACGTTTGGCTTTTACAGGCACCTGGCTTATTCTTGTATTTTACTGCTGTTGTAGGGCTCAGGATAAAAGAAAAATTATCAAGTTTGTGTTTGAAACCAGTTACGCAGTAGTGTAAAGAGGTGTCCAAGAACAGCATCTGTAACAGTGGAGAAAGAGTAAACTATTCAAACAAGAGTTAACATCCTTTCAGGTCTGATTTTTGGTAGTATTGTTGAAAGATGTGTCTGCTGAAGAATCCAATACAGTTACCAGTTCAGAGGTGAGGTTTTACACTGTTACAGTTCCAGAGCTGGTACCACATTACAAACATTGGCCTTTTCTTTGTTTTGTTTTGTTTCTGTGTGCTTTCAGTGAACATTGCAGACAGAGAAGGTTTCCTGGAATATCTGCAGAACGTGTTATTACTGTGCAGACAGTTATAGAAAGTAAAATTTTAAAATTACATAGATATTTGCAGTTGAAATCTCCTGTGTTTGTATTTCAGCTAGGGCCATGTGAGGGTGAGTTTGGAATATTTACAACAAAAAGTAGTAAAATTAATTGTATGAGAGGAGCCAAATGTAAAATTCATACGGCATAGGCAGATTATCTGCCAGCAGAAAGCCTGGTGTTACTAGACCCCCTAGTCCCAGAATTTCATTAAAGGAGGGAAAAGCACAAGCTGTGTTTTCGTAGCTGTAGTATCTCTGCCGTTAATGGCATTGGTTCAGCATTTAGCGATGTTAAGCTCTTTCCAGGCAGCTAGGAAGCTGACTGCAAAGTCAAGCTTCTGAAGAAAGGCAAACGGAATGAAATTTATGACCAGTTTTGTTTAGTTTGTGTTTTTAACTGTCCAACCTTCCTGCCCTCCTTGCTGAAGAAAATGAAATTACACAGTACTGCCTACATAATTTTAGTCTTAAGTATTTCCCCTTTATACATCTTACAGTCTGAAGTGCCAGGTTCTGAATTTGACCGTGAGAAACTGTATATAGCATAGCAAACATGTAACTTTAAGCTTCAAAATTTATGTTATTAGTTAAAGGGTAGAAACAGCCATTAACTATTGATTTTTCTGTTTTGATGTCATGTTGCCTGTGTATTTGGGGGTTAAAAGCCACACACTGTTGAGGCTTGCTTCTCTTGTATTTCCAAACATTTTACCTTCCAACGGTGTGAAAGTTAGAGGGTGTGGGCTTGTCTTGTGTTGGGTGAGGCTGGGGAGGAGAGGCTGGAGGCAGGTGGCTGGGGAGAGCTGTGCTGGGCACTTGGCTCCAGCTCCTCCTGCCGATATTCAGCTGTTTTGCTGCTCCCTTTCATCTGTCAAGTGTATTTGCAAGATAAATAGGTGAGGTTCAGCACTGAGGAGGGCTATCCAGCATTTCCCCCTTGCTGAAACGTCTCACTCTGCTGCTTGAAATCCTTACGTACAAAGACCACTATGGTGTAGGTGCTCTAGCTGGGTCTCTGGAGTGAGGAACATGGGTTTATTTACCTCTGTGTCTTGGTGGAAGAGAGAAACTTTTGCATCTGTTCCGCTGAGATACTAAAAATCCTTGCTCTCAGTTTTCCTCATGACATTTCCCAAGTTGTATGTTTAGGCAGTATAAAAGCTGATAAGCTGCTCATCCTCCTCAGCCTCTTAATTTGCCTGGCAGTGTTTAGAACTGGGCCCTCCCTTAAGCACAGCAGGAAGTGTTACTCTGTGTAATTAGAGCAATTGGAAAATACATGACTCCTACCTTCTTTGAGGGTATTTAAAACAAGCCCAGTCTATCTTATATACATTCCTGGGTAAACAGTCTGGTAAGTTATAGGGTCTTGTAATAGGACTTCCCCCCCTCCTAGAACAGATCTGGTTTATGCAAGTGGTTCGGTCTTCAGTGCTCCAGGCTATCATTTCCAGTTGTTCTGAGTAGGCTGAAGTGCCAGTGCAACTAAGCGAGAGGATCTGGATTCTAGTGGCAGCTGAACACGTGCACTAAAACCAGCACTTAAATGCCTCAAATAGAAGGAAAGTGAAGTCTGTAATCCTGTCCCAGTCTGCTAACGAAGTCTGGGAGTTTTCTGGAGGTAAATACCCAATAAACTAAGTAATCGCCAAGTTTTAAGTAGGCTGGGAGGGACAAAGTCTAAATGCTTTTCTCTAACTGCAGCCCTTTCCTAGGTGATAAGACTGACCTGAAGTCTCCACCCATCTTGTTGAAACACATGTGTTGGGGCCCGTGGGAGTTTATCAACCTATGGCAGACACACACGCTGTCCTGGGGGGAATTTCCCCTTTGGTTTCTAAGGCTTTTTCCATGGTTGGAAAACACAGGACACTGACATCAGCGTATACACATTTGCTCCCCAGACTGAGTCTGAGGGAGGGTGAAGCTCTAAGATCTGCAGTGTAGCTTTTGAGTGCCAAAGAAAAAAGGCTGGGCTGGTTAGGACATACCCATGTTACTCTGATACCTGGAATCGGGTGTATGTTTTTTCTTAACCTCAGCTCCCTGGGGACCAGAACTCCAGCAAGGACACACGCTTGGGCACAGCACTTTTGTGGCTGTATGTTACAGTATCGGGCACTGATCTGTGACTGACCCTAGGCAGCCAACAGCAGCTCTAAGAGCTTGGGCTCCAAAGCAGAAGCAGCCATGAGCCATTCCAGTCCAGTTCCTACAGATGGTACAGCACT